GGCGATTCAAACTTATCCTCAAGAGGTCGTCAATTCGCACAAAATCTTGGGGACTACATAGAAGGCATTCGAAAAGAAATTCCTGGGCGATTCCATGTGTGGACATCGGGACTTAAACGAACGCAAGAAACTGCGACGATTGCTGATCTTCACTTTGAACCCTGGAAAGGTATGCTTCAACGAGTACTCATTGCTTTCATCACGCTTCTAGCACTGAATGAGATAGATGCAGGAGTGTGCGAGGGACTGACATATACGGAGATCAAAGAAAAATATCCAAACGAATACAATATGCGACAGAACAACAAATACTACTACCGCTATCCGATGGGAGAATCATACTATGATCTTGTCGTTCGTCTTGAACCTGTGATAATGGAGCTTGAGGTTTTAACAAAAGGCTTTCTCTCGTTTTCACTAATGATTCTAGCGTTCCGACAGCACTTTCGTCGTGTGTCACCAAGCAGTTGTTCGCTGTCTCATGGCGTATTTTCAGAATCTTCCAGTCGATACGGTAAATAAAATTCAAAAAGCAGCAATCTAATCGTTTTGCTTTAGCTTCCTTTCCTGAAAGTACCACTGCATACTGTGATTAAAATGACTCAACACGCGCATTCATGCGACGTCGAACTTATCCCTCTTGGTCCAGAAGGTGTTGATACCCATCAGCCAATGACTCCTTGCAGCCACATATCTTCAATCGACAACAACGAAAAATGATAGAATCTTAACCTACCCATCTAGACTTTTCATTCTGTAGACCTCAAGAACCTGTATTTTACGAAAATCCGAAAGACTCCGCTTTCATGCCATAGTGTCCATGTAACCAATTTTACTTTCTGTATCAAGATTTCAACGCAAGTCCAAAACTATGATATTTTGTTTATAACTGTTTCCGTCATAGAGCCTATACTATACATAAATTTCTGTATCTATTCTTTGAATAAATCTATTCCAAAAATATCACATCAGTGTCTGATCAAGAATTGATCGCACACTTTTTGGTCTTTACCATAAACTTGGTATTGTAAGTTTCAGAATGTCTAAAAGGGCACGTCTGATAAAAGAGTTCGCAGAAGAGCTTGAATCAAAGTCAAAAGACACGTATATTTATGATCATCCTCCCCCAAAGGACGATGAATGTAGAATTGCAAGTCAGATATCGAATAATGGAATGAATTCGACAGTTTTTGATAGCAACAGTAACAAAGAAAAGATGCATGATTTTTCCATTTTCCACGAGAAAACGCAAGATAATGTATTCGACCAAACACTGCATAGGGTTGATTCTATGGCTGAAAGCCCCGACTTCCGTTGTAGCTACTCTGCTGTTTGTATTGAGGTCTTCTCTGATGGCCGGCAAAATTTACCACAAGATCCCAAGGAAGATCCTCTAACAGCAGTTTGCATCGTGTACTATCACTCGGATGAAGACAGAGAAGACGAAACATGGTTGTTATATACTCGTGACAAGATATATTCCGAAGACGATAGATACGATCTGAACCCCCGTTTGATCTTCTGCAAAAATGAAATGACACTTTTCGATAAATTTGCTCGACTTTTCCAAAGTCTTAATCCTGACGTAGTTCTTGGCTGGGAAATGAGACGACGATCGCTCGGATTTCTGATCAAAAGAGCAGTTTTCGGCCTTGGATGGAAGAAATTCGGGTTGTGCCTCAGTCGACACTTTGGAGGGGATGAAAATAATTACTTCGAGAAAGCAACGGTTGGGGATGTGGCGATCCCTGGCCGAACTGTCTTAGAGTTCTGGCGCCTGGCTGCTGATGAGTTGAGTCTGAGATCAACGAGTTTTGAAGCGGCGGCGTATGAAGTTCTCGGCAAACGCACTCCAATGATGAAACGGATAAAGATGCGGATTATGTGGAACTCTACTGATTGGGAAAAAGTGTTAAATTTCCTCACGTGCAGAACAGAAAGACTTGCTTTGATGATAAAGAAGATCGGGTTGTTAGAAATCGGATACGAAGTCTCAGGAATCGCAAATGTATCCATGAAAGATTCGCTCACTAGAGGATGTCAAGTAAGACATGAAGGTATATTCGGAAACTGCTGTACCTATCTAGGAGAGTTTTCAATGGTTAATTTATAAAAAAAGAGTAACCTGTATTAAAACTAAGTGAAAGAAATGGTAATGGATTCACCAACTGAAGCTGATGTTCGGGAATCAAGAGCAGGAGAACAAATTGCTCTCAATCTTGAGCCCGAATCTGGCATGTATACTGGTGGAGTTGCTGTTCTTGATTTTACATCACTGTATCCCTCTGTTATTATCGCTCAAAACATGTGCTACACCACCATTCTCGGGAATTATCAAGATCATTTGAATGGAGAGCCTCAAAATGTTGGTACGAAATTTGCATGGGCGCTGCCTCGTGAGCAACTTCCTGATGAGACGGACGTTCATTATGCTTCAACAAACTGTTGTTTTGTTAATAAAGAAAAACGAATGGGGATTTTGCCGCAAATTCAGACGAAGGAAGGTTTTGAATACCAACTCATGGTTTTAGTTGAATTTATTTCGAAACTTAAATAGCTCCTGTCTAGCCGAGCAGCAATAAAGAAAATGATGAAATCCGGCACTCATTCTCACCGAGAATACAAAATGCTCGATTCTCGTCAACACGCACTAAAAATGATTGCAAACACGATGTACGGATACACAGACGCTGGATTCTCCGGAAGAATGCCAAACCGACATCTTGCAGAAGCAATTGTCGGTGATGCAAGATGTTTGACCGAAAGAGCAGCGATTGCTTGTAGAGATATGTTCGGCAAAACAGTCATTTATGGGGATACGGATTCTGTCTTTGTCGATATGGAAGAAACTGTAAATAGGATCGGTTCAATTAATTTTTAGAATCCAAACTCATCAAATTAATCAGTCCGGTAAAAGAGAGAATATTGGCGATCTGATAGATTATGTTAAAACTATGGCTGAAGAAATCACAGCAATGTTCCCGCCGCCCATTGACTTAAAGTTCGAGAAAGTCTACTGGCCCTGTATTCTGGAGACAAAGAAGAGATACTGTGGATATCCATGGGAAAAGGCTGGTAAAAAGCCTGAGCTGGAATCAAAGGGAATCGAAAATATCCGAAGAGATGGAGTTCTTGCAGGTGGAAAACTGGTAACGAAGGCGGCGAAAACGCTCTTTGACATGGTTGTTGATGGCAAACTCAGTTTCAGGATCGCGCTCCATTATCATAGATCATATTTAGGTATCGAACTCCTTGTTGATTTCAAATGTAGAGTGCTTGCAAAGTAAACTAAAGGGAATACTGATAGACGAAATCGTAAAGATAAAGTCTAACCCAATAGCTTTTCTACCTGATTTGATATTTGAGAAATCATGGCGTGGATATGATGGCTATGCGCCAGGAGCTAAAATTCCTGCTTGGAAAATAGCAAGAATCAAATACAAACGAGGAGGACCCCTCAATGGCCCTCCTTCAGGAGAACGGATAAAATATTGCGTGGCGGTTCCTACCCCAGAATCCGGAGAGTCTGTTTTCTCAAGAACGTGGGAAGTTGAGGAATTCTTATTTGGTGATCTTCAGGAAAAGAGCTTCAAAACTCGCTTTAGTGAATAAATATAAGATCTACTACAGATTATTTTGAAACTCATTTTCTAGCCTGATATAGACTGGATAATCAGAATTCATATTCTTCCTGGTTTAGAGCGGTTACTAGGCGCAGTTCACCCTCTACTTCGAGCGTCACGGTGGGAGGAAGACATTACAGGACAAGAAGCATCGGTTACTGCCACGAATGGTTCATGGAAAACCTTTTCTGCCGCCGAACAGTGTATTGCTTGCGAAATGGATGATCCTGCACCCAACAATGTTTTCTGCGAAGGATGCAAAGAAAATAGCGCAGTGATGCGTGTCGTCGCGAACGAGAAAGAAATAGTCGAAAACGATCTATCAAAATATCAGCGGAAATGCTTTAATTGCCACAAAGAAGGTAACGGTCCAATAAAAATTGATGACAACACTGTTGTAGCTTTCGGGACAGCGTCGATCGAAGATTTAGACGAAGAGTTTTGCACGAATCTTGACTGCTCGAATAACTACCGACTGATCTACACCGAGAGGAACATGCCAGCAGTACTCAGAAACCGCCTGTTTGAACATTTCTGTTCCTCTGCATGAATCAAAAGCCTTTTATATGTTACACTGCCTCAAAGACGGACAATAAAAGAGAAACACACTGATAGTAAAACAATAAGCGGAGGTCGATTGCCCACCGTTTTTTTCGCAATGATTTGTTTGTCTGGCTAAGCTTTCTTTATTGAAGATTTATCATACAGCTGGAAGATATTTTATTAACAAGATTAGCTTGTAAGTTGCAACGCTGCGAGTTTATTATTTCAATTTTCGAATTTTGCATTTAGTAATGATAGGATAATGATAGTTGGATTAACAAGGTCTGAAGAAAAAGGCATATTCGCGATGCAGTCGGTTTTATGTTCGTTTTCTGTTTGAGCACAATGGTGAAGATAGAAAGCATGAATTGAATTTCGTGAGTTAAGAAATTGTTATTTGTCGTTTTTTTTAATAAATAAATACAATTTTGTGAAATTTTCGGGTTTTAGGAACTGTCGGAGCCAATAGATAGTCTGATGGAAAAAAGGAACAAAGGGAGATATATAATTACAACTGTTATCGCACGCAAATGAAAATCTGTACATTTGTAAATAAAATAATTAGTTGAACTGAGTGTAAATTGATAAGTTCTTCGAAGATTCTAAGCAATGAAAGATCATAGGCTCACAATGTCGGAAATAATAAGGAATCTGTATCGAATTTGGTACAATAGCGAGAATAAAGAATTGTGATTGAGTTAGTAGAGTTGAAGTTTTCTGAGGCACAGTGATAAGAAAAGTTCTCATGGGAGCCTTGAAATGTAGTGGGAATGTACGCTCAGCGAGGGTAAGTAGAATAAAATAATTGAATTAGTTTTTAGAAAGGAGGAATTATCAGCTGCGAACGACGCGGTCGGGAAAAAGAGCCTTTTGTAAGATATCCTTTGGCAGGTCGGTTCCAAAAGTGCCAATGTCGAGTTCGATTTGGCTCAATGGATCATTGTCAGCGAAGCCAGAAGAGTTATTGTTCGAACTTTGCTCCATCCCTTGGAAGTGCTGACTTTGGAGGATATCGTGTTGATCGCCTGGGTTTTGATAGTGTCGTTGTTCGGCCATGGAGATATTTGAATGTGATCTGGGAACCGGCTGGTGGAGTCTAATGCACCTTGTGAATATGTTCAAGAAAGTACTCGTTTACCTGTCTGGGAGAAGATGGTGAGAATGGGATCGTTGATGAGGGTACATCGGCCTCTGTGGGAACTGCTTCATCTGAATTCCTCTTCTAAAGATGGATTATTTTTCGGAAGCTCGACATGCTAGAATACCGGAGGCTTTGGGGCAATGATTGCGAAGAATTAGACTGAAAATGAGAGTAACGATTTGGATCAAGTCCCATGTCCATCATGTAGTCTTGGACCTGCGAGTCGATGTGTTGCTGATTATGAGGGGAGTTAGAAAAGGTAGGATTCGAATTCTGATTGTGGTCGTATGAAGGCGCCTGCTGGGGAGAGGGGGACATTTGGTGCATTTGAAGGCGGCTCATCATGGAGGTGGTCGAATCGTAGTACATAGTGCCGTTTCCAGTACTTTGGCCATTGCTTCCGAATTGGCAATTGTTTTGGGACTGAACGGGCATATTCGTCATGTGTGAAGGGCGCTGAAAAGAATTTCAATTGACTCTCAATGAGCAACAAATCGAATGACAAATTGAGCCCTTTGATGTTTTCTTGTCTGATAGACAACGAAAATATAAGAGTTGTGAATGTGCCAAGAGTTGAGAACCATAAGCTGGTAAATAGAGTCTCGCGTTGATGATTTTTGTGCCTTTAGAGGTCAACAAAGAGATCTCTGAAGCCTACTTTTTCGGTCGGGTGATAACGAGTTAAATTGAATTTTGAAGCATTCTGGCCTTATCGATGCACTAGAATGCCGAATTCAACTCGTCACATCCGACTGAAACAATCATCGCTCTGGCAACAAACTCCTCTTTCTCGAGAGAGAAGCTTTCGGAATGAGAGGACGGAATCTTATTATCGACTTGAATAGATTCTGATCTCAGCGCCGAGGCTTCAACGCGAGATATTCGACTAACCTTGGGGCTCAATGAGGAGTCAAAACTTGAGTGCATATTGATGGAATCGTCGGTCATGGAACTGTCGGTTGTTATTTCGCTGATTTGATCGTTGAGAGGTCCCTAGAGAGGAGCTATTAATGATACGGTCGGTATAAAGACTTCTATCAATACATAAAGTGCGGAAAAATGATCCTTACGTTAAGGTGCATGCAATCGGGCCCAGGAAGGGAGTGTGGTTGTCCCACGAGTGAGTTTTCTGGTAGTAACTGTTGCTCGACGAGTGGGTGGATCCAGCTCGTTTGTTTAGTCTCATGATTAATGAAAAAGACCTTCTGGTCACGTGTCACTTGTCGCTCACAATGCGACGGCAATTGTGAAGCCTAAAAATGAAAAATGGGTTAGGGCGAGAATGAGAAGCTATAGTGTTATAGTTGGCGCGAGCTCTGGGACTTACATCGTTGTATTCGCACAGTTCCATGTGTTTTCGCTTGAACTGCTCTAGAATCTGCACTCTGGGATCTTCCATCTGCGAGAGTTTTCTCGATCTGTCGACGAAGTAGCGTATGCCGTTTTGAAAACACATTTCCCAGTTTCCAGGCAATGGGATTCGCTCGATATCAACTGCGAGTGGCTGTATTCGGCCCCTGAAGAAAATTTCAGGGTAAAAATCAGATCGATTTCCTGGCATTGTGGTTTATAATTCTTTCTTGTTTTCTTACATTGCTTGGGTGGGCTGACGTTTTGGTATTATCGGCAGCGAACGCGATCTTGAGTGTTGCGAGTGGTTGATTGACGTTGCTTGGGCGTTCGGAGGCTTGCCGGCGTTGTGGACACCAACCGTGCAGTGAGAGCCTTGAAGTGAGTTACTTGCGTGTTGAGGCGAACCAAGGGATGACGAGTAAGCAGAGCCGGGAGATCCAACTCCTTTGAGGTGATTCTGTGCGCTGGGAGGTTCGCTTTTGATAAGAGACTTATCAAAACGCTCGAAAATGATGTCACGAAGAGGAGAACACATTCTTTTCAAAACGGTTAATCGTTAAAATACTTGGAAAAGATCTTTGAGCGCTTTCCTGGAGTTGTTTATATTGTCGACCCTTCTTGTGCGAGTCTTTGTTTTCGATTTCTCTATTTCGGTTTCTTTTAGAGGAAGAGTGCGTTCGATGGACCCGCATTGGGCCAAGAGAGCCAGAGTCTGATGAATTTTGAAGAGAGTCTGTTGAAGAATGTTGTTTGAGCTTTTGCTCGAAAAATGAGGCTGGAAAAGATCCTATTGCTTGAAAGTTACCACTTTTCAAGATTAACCAACTTTACCTTTCATGGCACGAGGAAGACTTTTCGATTTTTGATGCTTTTGGTCGAGGAGGGACAAACTTTGCTCAAAGTGTTTTTCGATTTCATCGCAAACGGAGCCTAATTTTCTGTGTGAAAAAGAAAACAGAAAAAGATGTTTACCTGTGAAACTATAAGTTTGGCTCTTTGACCTGCAATGTCCCTTTGTTTTAGCCGAGTCTTCCATTTTTGTTTTCGCATTCTCGTTACTTTTCAAATTGGGACTTTTCGTTTTCCCCGAGTCCATTCACGAATACCTCTATTTTTTCTAAAAGAGAAAAAGCTTTAAGAAATCTGCGCGCTCGTAAAGTGCTGGCTTCAGAACAACAATCATGAGTCAACAATGGACGAATATTGGTGATAGAGCACCTGCGATAAAAAACAAGAAAATTAAGGACGGATTGTGTAAGCGACGCTCCTACGTATCATCGCCGAACGGGACTCTAATAAGGCTCATTGTGACGATTGAACACTGCTCGAGTAAATATTGGTTCAACGGAACAGATCATAAAGATTTTACAGCGAGCTCGAAGTTGTAGTAAGCGTGAGATGATTCCCCATGGGAAAAATTCCTATAACTCGCTGCCTTACAATAATTACTTCATTTTTCCGTTCCTCTTTAATTTAAGGGAGGTCGTCGAGAAATTTTTTCGCCTTTTCAAAATTTTGATTATATTTTTGGATTCCTCGATAAAAAGGAGTATTTTTGGTCCCTAGCTTTTCTTAATTTGTTAACTTTTTAATGTAAAATTTTCGATTTTAAGTCTCGAACTTGAAATTTCTTGAAAATTATTCGTTGGTGATTTCGTCCAAAAACTATCTGAAACTGATTATTATACTCTAGGCATTGTTTTAAAATGATTTCTGACTAATTATTTTTAAAAATCCGAGTCTTTGTGATTTTTGAATAATTTTCCATGAAAAAATGGGTAAAAATGTCGATTTTGACGAAAATCAAATATTTTTAATCAATAAGAAAAATTTTTTATGAAAGTAACCCTTAATTTTTGATCGCCGGTTAATTTTTAAGGGTCTAAACTACTTATTAATTATATTTGATGAAGAAAAAACTCGGTTTTCGAGATTTTTGGTCACGAGACACCCCACTTCAACCCTAATTTTTGAAAAATTTTTCAAAAAATTTTTTCTGCTTTTCGCCGGTTAATTTTTCAAACCCTTTTCTTTCAATCCGAAAAGTCAGAATTTTTCTATCTAATCGGGTTTCTCCGCATTTTTGGTCACGGAAATCCCAATTCTCGTCGACCTCCCCCTTAAGGAAAATATAAATATGGCAAGTGTGTATTTGGGATGAAAGGTAAATGTAGTATTTATTACGGGCAGTACGCAGACTCTGATAACAGTAGAAATTAATAAGGTCCACGACGACCTCCTCGATGTCCTCCGCCGCCACGTCCACCACGGCCACGCGAGTCGGTAAAGCCGCCACGGCCGCCACCTCTGAAGTTTCCTCCTCCACGATACGCACCTCCACCTCGTTGGGGAGTATTGCCGCCGCGCTGTTCCTGACGTAATTCATTGATAGTTTGTTCGAATGTTTCGTCGTTCAATAAGTGATGAGGGGATTATTCAAAAATGCTTTAAGGAAGATAGCGAGTGTGAGATAGGGTCGGCATCCTCTGCAGAAATCTAAACTTGCCAGCGTGATTATGTGCTGTCTTTGATTCCCGCTCAAAACTGACCCCTTCTTATGTCAGCTGCTTGCTGTTTGCATATCTGTAGAGCGGCTCTACCAGAGCCTTTAATATACCTTCATAGTTCTCCGCTTGATAACAGGTAATCTTTCTGAGAGATTCGAAATGCTGAGGCCAGTTTTGATTCTGTGCATAAAACATTTGAAATGAAAATATATAATCCTGCCTTTTTTTCGAGTTCTTGGATCTTTTCATCTATTGCAAGAGAACTTTCTGGGACCTAATCGAAAATTAGCTGTCATATCTTGCATCTATAAGCAAACAGTTTCGTGGAAGAACGATCTTAAGCGTTAAATTTATGCCTTTTCCTTCCAGATTTATAGAATAGAATGCCAACCCTAGCCGATCATTTTTAAAAAGTGCTAATATAAAATTAGTCCTCGGTGACAAATTGACGACGTGTAAAACGGCAACAAAGAGGGTAATAGCATGACGAAGTGTGTTTATGCTCGTAGGACAAAATGATTTTGTTACGAAAGGGTTATTGAACAAAATTTGTGAACTGTTTTACGCGATGACGTTGGGTACCTGGATAGGGTCAAAGTTTTGGCTACCAGAGAAGCCGCCTCGCGGTCCTCCTCCGCCACGAGGTCCTCCACCTCGACCGCCTCTTTGTACAGGAGATGGCCACTGATTGTTTTGGCCTCGGGAGTCATTATCGAAGCTTTGGTTCTGGGAGCCGAAGTCATTATCTCTCCAACCCCCGTCCATTTCCATTTGCTCTAAGACATGTTATTTTTCCAAAGAACTCGAAATAATTTACCTGGCTTTCTGTAGGTTGGAGGAGGTCGGTAAGTCTCAGGCGCGCGCATTCCGGCACCTTCAACAAGATTCTTGAGTTGTTCGTGATTTTCATTGAGAGAGAGTCGTTGACGCTTCGACTGTTCAATTTCTTGCTCATGACGGGCACGGAGTTGCTCCTAAAAAGTGAGTGTTACTGTGACGTCCGGTTCCCAGATCTCGCATGAGAAATAATCTCAATTGCAATTATTACCTGGCGCTGACGTCGAGATTCTTCCATTTGTCGCAATCGAGCTTGTTGTTGTTCCATCTCTCGTCGAATTAGTCGTTCCTGATTTAGAAAGCTAGAGTTCTCTTCTATGATTTCAATGGCTTACCTGCTCCTCGCCGATTCCTACTCGCATCTCCTGCTCTAGGCGTTGCTTTCTTTCTGCAGATTCGAACTTCACTTGCTCGATTTGAGAACGCTCCAGTTCTTCTAGCGCTTTCCATCGATTTCCAAAGTCCATTTCGAAAGTCTCTGGCGCAGCGAATCGAGGAGGGTACGAGTATTCTTCTTCAAAGCCGTAAGTATTGTAGAGACACTCTTCTTGGAGACCGTCGGCGTCATCGACAGAGTCAACCGCGGAGCACACAACGGCTCGCGGAGACAGCGTTAAAAAGAAGCAACCTTGGTTGACTTGCTCGATCGCCTTCGTTGCCGAGTTTTTCGGTCGAATTCGACGATTCCCCTTTGAAAGACAATTTTTATAAGGTTCTCTCGATTAAGATTATTTTTAATGTATCTGAGTTTTCTGTAATTTGAATATATTCTGAATACGATTTAAGCGACGAATGTCGCTTTGCTTTTTCAATTCTGAAGATTTTTTCCGAAAACATATGATATCCTTCTGCGTTTCTACGTTCTTTATTCAGATCAAAGATCCATTTAAGTTTTTATGTAAATCAAATGACGAAAAGAAAGATACTTCTTAGATAGCAAGCAACAAGACAAAGAATTTTACTTCTTGGTGACAACGAAGCTGGCTCAAAATTCGTCGATCGAGATTCTGTGTCGATCAGAATCAACTTGATCTCTTATGAAAGATTTTTAGACAAGAAAGGGACAAACAAGTTGAAATTTCTCGGGTTATAGCCTAACCAAAATCTAACTAAAACTATCACCAATAAAAATTTATCTGTTACTAAACTAAATATTCGAAATGCATGTCACCGAGAAGTAAAAGAAGAATATGTGAGATAAATGAAGGAGATAAGTGAACATTCAAACAATTCTGTGACCTACTTTTCGAGGGATTTGCCTCGTTCATCGACCATAACAACGGCTCGTTCGATTTTACCGAAACGAGAAAATGCATCATAAAGACGCTCGTTGGAAATGAGAGGAGATAGGTTCTTGACTTCAATGCTCGTTCCCTGAGCAGCGAATTTTACTCGGATGGGGCGATTCTGTCCAACAATGGTTTTGCCGCTGAGGCCATATTTAGCCTGGTCGGCTTGCATGCGGTTGGTCATTTTGATAAAGGCGAATGTTTTTCCTATTGAATATAAATCAATATCTTTTTATAAATATAGAAAAAAATAAATAATATCGTTTATAATTTTATGGATAGAAATATTTTTTGCTCGGACGATAATTTCTAAATAAGGTTTCTTCAATGAGATTATGACATAAAGACCCGATACTTTTGATAGATTGATTCATCTGCTCATACGAAAAACATTTTCAAGAAGGGACTCTTTGAGAACGATTCGATGAAGATGCAACTCTCTGTCAGAGAGTTTCTCAAGAATTACGCTTGAATACTATTTGTGAACATTTTCTTTTCAAATAGAATTGATGAGATACCGCTATGAGATTCTTGGAATATGAAATGTACGTATATGGTTGCATTCTTGGGATAAAGATATACAGTCGGAGTCCAAAATAAGGGACTTTTGCTCCAAAATTTTCGAAAAAGTCCCTTAAATTGGGTCATCAAAGCAAAAATATGTCGCTGAGAAGTTTTTTCGAAGTATATTTTTACGGCAAAATAAGCTGAAGTTATTGTTTTTGTGACTTAGAAGACATTTTTGAAAGAGGAAAACATATTCTGAAAGGCAAATCACTTCAGTTTGGGGCAAAGCTGGTTGAAATTAAGGTAATTGATACCCTTTATCAGCTCTCAACTAACTGAAGAAGCTTACTGATCTCGGAAAGTCCCTTAAATTGGATTTTTCTGCCGCTGATTTTCGGCATTTTGAGCAAAAGTCCCTTATCTTGGTGTCCCTTATTTTGGCTCCGACTGTAGTTCTAAATTCTGGAGTTTTCAAAAATTATCGTGAGGCGAAAAATAACTGAATTCTGACATTTAAATAAGCTGGTAAAATATTTACCCTGAGGGATAAAAACTTCCTTGACTTCGCCGAACTTTTGAAACATGGAGCGAACTTGTTCTTGAGTGATATTCTCTGGTAGACCGCCGACAAAAAGTCGGGATTGACCAGTAGATTCTGTAGATCCTTCCTCTACAAGAGAAAGATGAAGAGTTATGATAATAAAGATTTGGTTGTATACGTTCTGAATTCTAGTTTTGCGCTCTTTTCGTGGAACTGAAAATATAAGCTTTTTAACGAGTCAATAAAAGTAAAAAGAGACTAGCTGCTACCGATGCTAGTATGAGCCGATTATCGACCAAGAGTTCTTTTCGAATCAATAAGAAGTCCGGTCTATAGAAAATAGTTGAAAAAAACAGAGAGCCCGGATATCAACTGAAAACATAGAGGAGTTCAAACAAAAAAAGCTTTCTATGCAGATCCACGAGAAAAGAGGCCTTATACTTTTCTATTTGGTTATTTACCCTTCTCTGGATCTGGCTCAAACTCGATGGGCTTTCCATCGTTAAAATTTTTGGTGCTAGAACTTTGCTGGCCCCTGTTCTGATTGCCTTGGTGCCCTCTATTATGGCCGCCCTGGTTGCCTCGGTTCATATTATTTCGGGGAGTGTTTTGTTTTCGATCGTTGTTTCGATCGTTATTTCGGTTATTTGGTGTTTGGTTTTTGTCGTTTGGGGTTGCAGGTTGAGGATTGCCTCCTTGTTTCTGATTCGGAGTGGAGACACGGTTGGGCATTGTGCTGCCATTCTGTTATTTGGGTAGAGAAAAGTTTCACTTATCAGATCATCACTCTGATGAGCCATAAAACAACCAATTTAGACAATTTCAGACGAGTTTGAGGACGAAATTATGAGCCAACAGAGCTAAGACGACCTTCGATTAGAGAAAAAAGTAAGCAGTGACAGCGTTTTTTTTAAATGGGAACACCGATTTTCGAACCCCTCTAGAAAAACGCTGAGTGAATCACCTGGCTCTTTAAACCTTACTAATGCACAGAGTAGACCTAGAGCTTTATTTCTATAGCTTTAGAGATCCTGTATGATGACTGTACTCGGAGCTGTTTGACTCCCAAAATAGGTATAAATGAGCGAAATCGGAGAATTTGGAATTGATGACGTAATATCTTCCAGATCACGTGTTGTATACATTTTATAAACCCTACCAGTGCACAGAGTAGACCCTCAGCTACATTTCTAGCCGTTATCGGACTCTCTCCTATGATTGTACTCTGAGAAATTTCACTCCCCAGGTTGTTCCCATTTAAAAACGCTGTCAGTGCTTTGAAACTACCCTTGTTATTGTTTTGAGGTTCAGTCATAGGTTGAACCATTTTTGATTTATAGGTACGGATTCGGGTTTCGAGTTATTCTGAATATGATATGAATTAATTTCTCAAAATTCTTTTCACAATTCGCAAATTATCAGTAGCTTGAAGAAAATAGGTCGATCACTCGGGTTTATCGTAAATTAGAGACAATGTCCCTGAAACATTAGTAATCTCTTGAAGTCAACACTGGAAGCGACAAAAGGAAATTTTTCTTTTGAAATGAAATTCGAGTGAGTCATGAACACCCTGTCCGCGGAAAACCTTCGGCGGATCTTTATCCTGCTCAGTTCGTAGGCGACTGGGCTTTCTTGCTTGGGGGCTCATTCTGTCTGGATGCGAAGCAAAACCGATCAATTCTAAAATGGGGATTCCGCATTATTCGAAATTGTCAAGTTTTCTTTCTAAAGCCTGAACTTGCAAAGTAAGTCGTTTGATTCCAGCATCCTCAATAAGTTTATTGCGAGGGGAAAATGGGCAGTCGTTCTAACAATTGTTCTAGTCGTGAAAATATTAATCTAAGAACGTCAGGGAGGCGTTTACAGGAGCAGAACAGATCACGGATGTACAGTTAGCGGGTTTAGGCCGGTTGTTTACTTGGCCTGCGCTTGCCACCACTTGAAAACGTCCGAGAACCATTCTTCTTTCTGGCACTTCATGGTGTTTCGGAGCCAGTTCTTGAACTTTTCTTCCTTCTTTGGCTTTCCTCCCGGATTCGCCTGGATAGCTTTCTTCAGCTCCTCGACGGTGCTGTATTCTTTGGGCGCTGCAAAGAAGGATTAAAGAGGACCATTGAAAGTAAACACTTACCCTTCTTTGCCTTCTTGTTGTCAGCCTCTTCTTCGACTTCAGAAGCTTTTCTCTTCGTAGCGGCCTTTGGCTCTACTTTTTTCGCCGCAGCTTTCTTTGGCGAAGCAGCTTTTACTGGCTCGGGCTTGACGGGCTCTTCTTCCTCTTCTTCACTTTCTACGTCTTCGGCGGTTCGGAGTTCCTAGTGATATATGTTTCAAAGCAAGACAAAAAAAAACTGTAACGTACCGCTTCCATCTCTTCTTCATCCATGTCCGACTCGTCGTCTTCATCATCCATTTCTTCATTGACCAAATGATTGGCGCCGATGTTCACTGGCCCCTTGCCCTCGGAGAGCTTCAACAAAAGTGGTGGCTCGACGGAAATATCGGGCAATCGAAGGTAGGGATTCTAAGAACGGTTGGAAGATAATTAAAATTACTCGACTTACAGCATCCGTGAGAATGCCAAGAATGACTGTGGCCTTCTCGGAATTGGCATCAACAGCGGAAAGCTCGATGACATGCTTTCCTTTGGCGCCGGGGCCAAGAGCGCAGGATTTGAAGATGACCTGTTCATCTTCGTTGTCTCCGCCCTCGAATTTGTATGGTGCAGGTCCTAGGCAAAAAGTGGAAAGTGGGATCGAAGATAAAAAGAAAACCCTCAAGATTTGTGGCCCAAAGATACTCCTTTCGTTCCGGGACGGGAGCTCCCATCATGGCAGAATCGTCCATATCGAACTCAGACTCGTCCATGTCAATTTCAGGCTCTTCGGCGGGAACTTTGGAAGGCATTTGAAGTCTGAATTTTAAGAACTTTAGAATCTCTTTCTTTCGAACAGTTGTTTCCACAATTCTTAAAGTCGAGGTATCTCTGTTTATCTCTTGAGGTAGAAATTCACAATAGTTACAGAGTAGTCTCTTATTTCGATAAAAGCTCTTTCTCGAATATTTCTTTGCGAATTACGCGTCTACGAAAGCTCAGAAAATGCCCAATCGGGGGTGGCGAAAGATTCGTCTGGCCAATCGTTTTACGGATTGGCGCTGGCTTGCCTTTCGGATCGAACCACTACCAAGTTCTATTCTCGAAAAAAAAAGAGATAAAAATCGTTACTGTTCTTGAAAAGCGAAGAAAGAAACTGATGGAAGAAAAGCGAGGTCAGATGAAATGAGTCGACCGGTGAAGAAAGTCGTTCTCGACGTTTCATCAAGCTTCCCAGAAAATAATTTTGCTCAGGAAGGGATAATCACTTAGAACGACAATGAAATGAAACCAATGAAATCGTTGGTAATCAAGTATAAATCCCTTTTCGAAGACAAGCTACAATCGCGGTGGCAGAGGAGGCGGCCGTGGTCGAGGACGCGGTGGTGGCAGAGGATCCGGAGTTGAACAACCGTTGAACGAACTGGTCCACTACTGCAGATCTCAAAAATACGGCGCCGTCACTGTTATTCAAACGGATCTTACTGGTCCACCGCACAAGCCCGTCTTCACCTTCGAATGCTCCGCGAAAGTAAAGGGAAACTGGTACGCAGCGAAGGGCAAGGACCACTCCAAGCAAAAAGCAAAACATGCTGCTGCCGCCGCCCTCAGAAAAATCATTCACGAGGTAGAGTTTTCCCGAAATCCGGAAACGATTCCAACGCGACAGAACAATGAGCAGCATCCTAATCCTGCGCCACTTGGTCCTGGAACTCGAGGAAAACTCCTGACTGGAGATGAAATGAGCAATTTGGCCGGGATCGGTGATCATGCTCATCTTCCCGAGCCCCCAAAGCCGCCTTCATTTTTGGAACCAGGGGAATGCAGAGATAGTGATGAAGAAGAAAGCGAAGAAGAAAATGACGACCCAAACACACCTGCCTGGATGGCTGCCGGTTTGAACGAGCCTCCTTCTAGCGCGTTGTCGAGGAAAAAGAGACAAGCGAAGAATCAGAAGGAGCGCAAAAGGGCTGGAAAAGAATGGGCTTCGAGACAATTTACGTACGAACCTGACCAGTACGATCCTAATAGTTTGGCGAAGATGGCAACTCCGTTTAATGAATCAGTGCCTGAAGAAGGTATTCGTGATCCAGTCGAGGAGGATCCCGCCCAGATTAGAAAGATAAACGAGTTAAAAGCTGAAAATAAATCAGCTCCATGGCCCGAGCTTATAGAAGAAGATGACAAAGAAAAGCCTTCGACATCAACTGCTCCAAATGCTGGAACGTCCAGTACTGGAGTTCTTCGGCCGCCAGTGCCACTTGCACAGGGAACAACGGGACGAGCAGGGAATTATCACCCACCGCAAGCGATGGGTAGTCAGCCACGCCCACCTCGTCCGTTGGGCTCATTCCCTCGACCTCCTGGCTCATCCGGATTGACTGCTCCTCGTCCACTTTCTCAACCAACTCGTCTCAGAGCACCGACACCAATGAGCCAAAACTTGCGCCCACCAAGGCCCCTCGGGCCTAAAAGTATGCAAGGCACAAATCAGTTCAACCTTTTGCCAGATCGAAATGGGACAGGATCGAGTCAAATCATGCCCTCCCGCAAATCCCCAAAGAAGAAGACTCATACAACTCCACTCCCTCCACCACCAGCTCCGCCAAAACTAAATGGTGAAAAGAAAAACGCCAAGAATACATGGTCCGGCTGGGATAAAAACGACAGCTGGGAACCATCATCAGAATTTTACGTGGATCCTCAGTTCTCAGATGATGCCTTCGTTGAAAACAAGGAATTGATGCCACCGCCGAAAACGGATAACAACATCATTCCTGCGTCTAAAATGAAAAAAGTCTCCTATAACAGCGCTAAAGGATTAGTCAAACCAAAGGGCTGGTCCAGTGTTTGGGGCTGCAAGAGTCACATCGAAGCTGGATACGAGGTGTATTACGATGTCGATGATATCAAATTCGGTTTTCCAACGTATGAGGAGAAGCAAAACTCGATTACTTCTGCAGAGGCGATTTGGAATGATGAGCTTTTTGATACTGAAAAGTATCAAGATTGGGAGGACGAATGGGCTGAGTATGATCTCAAAAAAGGTAGCTTATCCAAATTTGTTATTATTTTCTTCATCTTTCAGACAAAACAACATATTTTGATGAATCTTTTGCCGAAAAAGGCCTTATGCACCACCAACGAGATCCTCGCGAAGAAGGAGTGCCTTGGTTCGCCCCTCCTCGAATAGATGGCAACAACCTTCGCCCCGAGCTTCGTGATCAACTTGAAAAGCTAGATCGAGAAGCTCTTTGGAAAGCTGATGAAAAAGGTGGTAAAGGTGCAACGTATGATCTGCCAAACTTTGCTAGAATTCAGGTATATAAACAATTATATAGAACAAAAATATTACTATTGCTAAAAATTGTCGACTGAAGGGGAGATGGCAAAATATTACACAACATTTAGTCATGTGTAGACGACTGGATCAAACAGTCGTTTGGAGTTACCGGAACCCAATTTATTTACGAATTCTACTCCAGGTGAATGACAACTCAAGGCCACTCTCGTGCCTTTTTGATGTATGCTCCCGTCCGTAGTCGTTTAAAAGCCCAATTCTCAGTATTTTGGGCTATTAAATCGAACTAAAAATGATTGGAAGCATACTTCAAGATTCCCAGAAAAGCTTTTTTTGCTTTCAAATATTGAGTATTTCAAGTGTTTATTGCACAGTAAAGAAACTTATTTTCTACTAGGCAGTCGAACTACTTTAAAGAGCAGAGTGCATCTCAATTTTTGTTCTTTAAAATGGTACTTTATAATCTCTCTTACCAACAAAAATGACCCCCTAGTAGGAAAGAGTTGAATGCAAGAACATATGGAATACTTCAATATCGACAACCGCTTGAAATAACGAAATTATTATTACTCCTTTGAAGTTAATTTGTATCACCAAAATTACGTGTCGATTCTTACAGTTATAAATTTTAAGTTAATAATCATCGTTATATTATCGTTATATGTCGTTATAATATAGCTGTTCTATAACTTTGTTTTAGCAATGGATTGCTAAATGGATACTATTGTGCCCTTTGCTGCTATGATTGGCCACCTACAGTTCATCAAGACTGTATTCGAGATCATTTGACCTCGCATGGCCATAAATTAGGTTAGCAGTCGGGAACTGCAGAACTCTTTTTGATCTTGTTTTAGGATACCTACGAAGGCAGTACATGAAGGAATACATTGCTCTTACCAACTGGCCTCATTACGGGACAGGTAAATACAATCTATAGTTTATGAATAAGAAGTTATCAAGCTCATAAACATAAATATCGATTTACTTATTACTTTTGCAGACGCCTTGCGAGATTATGATCTGGAGGAAGCACTGGAGGAGAAAATAAGCATGATTGCAAATAAAGAAGCCGCCTCATTCAAGAAAGTCGCTGTCAATGTCCGCACCATGCATCACAGAGGCCTGATTACTTCACAAGCGGAGAAATTGAGAGATGGTTTCTTCAAAAAAACAAAGACGAATCGTACAGCAAAGAAGCTGACCGAATGGTCACTTGATGAGTGGCAATGCTCAAGGTATCCGTGTGATTCCGTGAATCAATCAACGCGACTTAACTGTTTGAACTGCGGCGAAGCAGCTCCAGCTGATCCGTACTTCTTTTATATCATCAAAGCTGAGGAAGATGATGCTCGCCAAAAAGAGCGCATGGAGCGGAGAAAGACAAAGTATGCCATTCGTGATCGCAGAAAAGAATTCCTTGAGCGAATCCGACAAGGCGAAGAGCTCGCGAGGGGTCCCACTTTGCCAAAATACATAAACGCGATGTCGCAGGTTCCTGTCATGACTGATGACGAAATGCAATTCTTCCAGGTGCAAGATTTCATGAAATCAATTGAGGAGTCTCACCCGGGCTTGGATCTCGATAAGGACCAACCGTTGCCAATGGAAGATGCTCTCGAAGAGAGAATCAAAGAGAATGCTTATAAAAATGCGGATACTGTTGCTTGCCAGGACGGTTACGAATCCGGGGAAATTCAAGAATCAAGTGATAGCAACGAGGAAAAAGAACCAGAAGAAGAAATTCCAGAAGAACCAAAATCTCCAAAGGGTGATGGAAGCAAAACGAGGAAGAGATATCGAAGAGCTGTACAGGCGGAAAGACGAAAAGCGCTGATGTACGAGCGTCCTGAAATCAGACAACAGCTTGAATCAGAAGCCTGGATTCCAAAGAAACTATCCTCGGGTTGGTGGCTCAAAGATGGTTGCTGGCTGTGCAAGGTGTGCTGTCACAAGAATCCCGGAAGTTACAAATTTTGTTTTGGTTGTGATATAGCTGCGCCAAAGAATATCGATGGAAATATGAATAAACAGCTTATTCATCCGTCTGTCTTTCACGAAAATGACTGGAGACATACTCAACAGTTAAAAAAGTGGATCGAAAGCAACCCGGAAGCTGAAGCCGAGAAACCGCAAGATGTTAAAGGTCTTCCCATTTACATGCAAAGAGAGCACGCAAAGGAACAAGGTTTATTCGGTGGTGATTTCTTCAAACACGGAGCCGTGCGACAAGATTTGGTGGAATACAGAGCTCTCCGAGTGAAAACTGCCGAACAGACGAGAAAAATCATGAGTCAACAGGGTTTTGCCGAGTCGCCAGACTATCTAAGTACTCTAGGTGCTAATAGCCTGGATACGAGCGTCGGCAAGGGATGCAAAGAACGTATAATCAGAGCAATGCAACGTCGTGCTGAAAAACAGCTTGCTGGTGAAAAAGTCACTGGTTACCTAAATCGCTTCCGAAAGAACTTTTCCCAGTGCGGATGGTGGTGCGAGTCCTGCGATTATTACAGTTTCTTTCCTCGTGATAAATGCCACGAGTGCAATACTCCTAGACCTCTTCCTTCTGAGATCTGGAAGTATGCATACAAACGCTCTGAGCGAGCCGAAGCTGTCATGAATATCGAAAAACACATAAAGAATACGGAAAGTGAAGGAGTAAACTACTTCGTCGGCAAGGGAAAATACGCTCAAACGGCGGCACCTGACTGGCTTGATGCTTCTGATGGGAATCCACATGGCTTCAAACGTACACAAAACGAATGTGGTGGTAGACAAAAATACTACATGAATAGACAGGATGATCTCGCCACGGAATCACAGAAAATCGCTGCTTACAACATGATGATATACATGACGAACGAGACCATGGGTGGTCAGGGCTCTGTCCCACAAGGGTTGCCAATCACTGAACATGCTCATCCAAATGCTACCAATGAGAGCGTTATGGATGAGGTGCGGGCCGAAATCGACGCCGAAGACAGCGGACAACCCGTTCCGCAGTTCAATCCACCAAAAGATCCAGATAATGATGAAGATGGCTGGATCAACAAACTTACCGCAACACCTCTTTTGGATTCTAACAACCAACTTCTCTCATTTGATGATAAGCTTCTTGTTTACAAAAAGATGTTCGAGGAACTAGAACAGCTTCGAGAGGAAGCAAAGCAACTTGAAGACCAAGCTTCATCATCGGAGTCCGAAGATGAAGATGCAAAAAGAATCGCTGAAGCTAAGAAGAAAGCAAAAGAAGATGCTTTCCGGTCTCAAATGGCTTATCTTCATCATGAAGACTTCTTATATCAACTTGGACAGGAAGTGAACGATCGAGAAGACCGAATTCGTAATAGAAATGCGACCTACGATGATGTAAAGGCAGAACCTGTAGATGAGGACTTTGTTCCAGCTCGACTCAAGAATCGATTTGCTGAAGAATTTGACAATCTGGTCCCAGACGAGTGTTTTGATTTGACTGGAAAAACAGATTCCGAAGGGTCGAGCTCCTCTGGATCAGACTCCGACAGTGGTGATTCAGACTACTACAACCCGCGACGCAAAAGAACTGAAAGGGGTAAATACAGAATCCCACATCGCCGTGATGAGTACACTGTTTCTGATGAAGAGCGCGATATCCGTGCTCGAAAGAAGAAATACGCTCATAAACCACCACCAGGCATCCCACAATCTCAGTGGGTCGGAAAATCAGATCTCCAAAAGTTGAAAGAGCAGTATCGGGAACGAACTATAGATGAGGCTTCATCCCGAAAAGCTGAAACCTTTGGTGACTCTTCAAAGGTGACTTTCGTCGATGGCGTAGAAAGGATTGAAGTTCCAAGTTTCACGATTGCTGGCATGTCCGAGAAAGAGATCATGGATATGAACGAAGAGCTTTATCAGATGTCAGACAGAGCTCCTGATACGTTTAGTGGAAGATCTCAACGTAAACGCGATGGCTTGTACTTCGACGAAATGGGCCGCAGACGATACCTTCATAAAGAAAGTGACAGATATCGATCGCCTTCTCCGGACTGGCGCGTTCGTAGAGATGGTCGACATAGACGAGACGATCGCGATAGAAGATCGCCTCCGCGTGAAGCTCGCCGATCCCCTCCCCGCCGTCGTCGGCGGTCGAGTGGATCTCCCGAGTTCACTCGCAATGAATACGATAAGAAGCGATACAAGAATGTGTCTGGCTTCTACCCAGACGGAACACCTCGATGGGGCCCTGATCATCCCGATTTTGATATGGAAAGAGACAAGATTCCGTATTGGTATTGTGTCAAGCATGGAATCAAGGCGAAAGAACACAAAGGATGGCGTAGCACAGAACAGAATAATACCACTGATTTGATGCCTATTGAAAAGTGGGGCTTCGACAGAAAACGCATGCGTCAAGATGTTGATAAAATGTATGAAGGCAAAAAAGAAGCTCACGGATGGGGGACCAAAGGAGCTGATTATGAAGCAAGGCGCGAGCGTGATATGGAAAAGCGCGAGAGACCTATCAGTCCTGAACGGAGACGAAGGAGACAGAGTTACGAAAATCGTGTTCGTTATTCTGACGAAGAGGATAGCCAAGAGCGAGTCTTTGAAGCTGGTAATGATCGCCTTCGTGATGCTATCGGTCGTCGACATGGAAGAGATTCATCGCCTCAGCGACAAAGAAAATATTCAGCAGAGCACGATGATCGCTCTAGCAGACGTCGACATTATAGTAGCTCACCAGAAGATAGATCTCATCGAAGAAGAAGATATAGCGGTTCACCTGAAGATAGATCATCTCGAAGAAGAAGGGATGACAGGCGTAGTCCAGAAGATGTTGATGGCCGAGATGAAAATATGGTTGATGATATCGTGGATATCTTGCATTCGCGGCGTTATGGAAAGGAATCGGAAAAGATACGAGACATTCCAGAGGACGACCGTGACGCAAGAAAGAAGAGACGAGAAGAACGCTGGGAAAGGAAACGCAAGAAAGAAGAGAAGAAAGAGAAGAAGCGCAAAAAGAAAGAGAAACTCGAAGAGCTCGAGGAGAATCTCAAAGAAAAAGTACTCAAGAAAATTGACGAAAAAATTTCATCCCTCAGCAAGAAACGGAAGGGTAACGATTCAGATGCTGAGCGTAAGTCTTCCTCGACAAATTGTGGCGGTGAAAACGAGGGAGATAAACATGAGAAACCTCAAGAAATCTCATCTGATTCCGAAATTAGTGACAATGAACACGGCGCGAGAAGAAGTCAGCCTCATGAAATCTCTTCTGAATCTGAGCCCCACACTGACCAAGAGTTCTTTGATCTCCCATCACCAACTGAGGAGGGCGAGGTTGTTCCTTCAAAGGAAGAATTCGAAGAGTACGGAAAGGAGAACTTCTCAAAAATGGAGCGAGAGTTTAGTTTGAAGGAGAAAATTCGTAGACGGCTGATCGAGCGAGAATCTTTCCTTCCGTTTGGTTCTGTACGATTTGATACGAAAGGAGCTCCGGTCGAATATCAAACTGATATTCACAAGATGTTTGACGAGTTAAAGGTTGGTAAAATATTCTTTGGAATGATTATTTCAAATTATTTATTTGTCAACGTGCGTTTTGTTGTTGCGAGGAAATATGGTAGAAAACATCCGTTGACATGTAATCATTGGTAACATATTCAAATTTACAGTTGTCGCTCGGTCAAAAAATAATGGAATATAGGAGAAACTAGAACGAGAGAAGAATAATCCTGAGCCGGAACAGTCAGTTGCCGAACGCGTCAAGTCGAAGACCTTCTTTGATTCGATTACGAATGCTCAAGAGCCAATTATGACTGATATTGAGACGGATAATGAGTATGAAACGGCAGCGGAACAATCAGACTACGAGGAGGACGAGCTGGAAATTGAGATTTCTACTACACTGAGGCCATCATTTGACGTTCTGAATCCGGCAGAATTAGCCGCCGCGCAGAAAAATGCTGAAAAGATTGTCAGGTAAATTTATTGTCTATTTTATTTGCATTTAATATCCAATTATGCAGACGAGTTACATCACCCACGGAGCAAAAACCAGTTTCTTTGACCATAAAGCCGTCAAAGCCAGCGAAGCAAATCACTCACTCAGTAGATCTTGACTCTGAAACAGAGTTCGACCCCGCTCCGCCAGAAACATCCGCCTTTGGAGATGCTCCCCCGAAGCCCGTCTCGCCACCCAGGAGCAGGAAATCGCGACAAGAACCAAGGACTTCAACTGAAGAATCTAAATCAATTGAAGGTCGAACGCCTTCTTGGGCAGCGCCAACGGAGAAAAGTGATGAGCCACGCCCCGTCCCGCCGCCATCAATCACCAAAAAGGATGAGTTGATGCCCGATCGAAGGCGTACGAGAAAAAAATCATCCCCCGAACCGCGAGAAGATTTGATGCCCGATCGACGAAAAACAAGGAGGAAATCATCTCCAGAGCCTCGCTCAACGCGTTCCAGTGCTAGTATCAAAAAAACTGCTGAATCGTCTCGACCTTCCGATCGAAGTCCAACGACCTCAAAGCCGAACAAGAGTTACAGCAAACATCGCGATAGAACAGAAGATTCTCATGAGAAAAAGTCGAAGGCCTCAAAACGTCGAAAATCTCCTTCTCCTGTCAAGGCGAGAGCGTACTCCCCGCGAAAGACGCGAGGTCAACGGGCTGCTGAAGCGAAAGACGCAAAAAGCAATATGGAAAATTTCGAAAATATGCCTACGTTGTGGGTGAGCCCAGAACGAAATCGAGATGATAAATCCCAGCCTTCAACTTCAAAAAGTAGACGTTCAAGGTCGAAAACCCCGAAACGCAGATCAGCAGAAAGGAAACCAACAAAGAAATCCAGATCGCGATCTAAAACCCCAAAACCTTCATCGACAGCTGCACCTGAAAGGCGAAGCTCAAAACGAAAACGAGACTCCTCGTCTGAGGTTCGTACTAATGAAGTAATCTAGTTATTAAAATGCTCATAGGGTAAAAAGAAAGAGCGTTCTCGCAGAGACTCTATTGACGCTTTTGATGATATCAAACCAAAATCAGACGTCACGACGAACGATTTAAAGGTACTGTATTCTTCATCCTAAAACCATACAAATTTTCAAAAGGCAAGACTTCTAAAGCGGATGCGGGAGCGTAAAGAAGGCAAAGATTCACGATCACCAAGTCCTTCACCAAAGAAACTATTTGCTGCATCATCTTCTGGTGGTTTCGGAAAATTGAAGGAGTCATCGCCCAAACCAGAAGAAACAAAAAGCCCGAAACATCTCTTGATCGTTTGAAGAGGCGTCTTCAGGCTAGAAAACGAAGAGAAGAGAACCCTGACGCTGATGGAAACGACAGTGATCTCGAATCCATCGCTCCATCGGAGACATCTATTCTTGCTGTAGAAAAAGGACTCAAAAAGTTAATCGAAAAATAGTTAATATCACAAATTATTAATCGAAAATGACTGTAGTTAAACGGCCCTTCAAGCTAACCAACTCTTGACCGAAACACATTTCACTCTCACTTCTTTAGAGCTCATTTATTGAAAAAAATATTGTCATTTTTACTGCTGCTTCACATAGTTTTTCTTCACTGAAAATATCTACTTAATAATTTAAATTTAATTTGTTTCAATTCTCAGATGCTTCGATTGGTACGAAAGGGAGTTTCGCAGCGAGCCCTGTCTGCTGGATCTCCAGTTTTCCCTGGAACTGGCCTCAACGAGGATCAGCTTGTCTGGCAAGACGCCGCTCAAAAGTGGGGTGCCGCAGAGCTCGGTCCGTACTCGGCTGAGTGGGACGCTAAATGCCACTATCCAATCGACGTTATCAAGGTAAAATGATAAATGAAGATGGATGTTTTCCGTCTTGGGATCTGACAACGATTGCTTATCCTCAAAAATTTATGTAGTCCTCAGCTGAACAAGGTTTTCTTGGACTGTATACTTCCGAAGATGTTGGAGGCATGGGCCTTTCCCGATTGGAAACGTCTATTGTTGTTGAGGTAGATATACTCGCTGACGATTTATTTATATCAACCCCATCCCTTATAAAGCCAGTGCTCATAAAAAGATATTTTCGCAGATGATTTTAGATATTTCTTCAAAGAAGGTACAATCATCGAGCCCCGATCTTGAGCAGAATTTTCCTCTGAAACCCAATAATTTACAATAAATTAAGGCACTGAGTGAGCATTGTGTTCCCACCACGGCCATGATGACGATTCACAATATGGTATCCTGGATGATCGATGTTAACGGAACTCCCGAACAGCGGGAAGAATTTTGCCCAAGATTGACGTCCGGCGAAATCATCGGCTCTTACTGTCTTACTGAGCCTGGCTCCGGCTCCGATGCCTCTGCTTTGGCTACTACTTGCATTCGTGATGGCGATGACTATGTTCTCAACGGCTCAAAGTGCTTCATCTCCGGCGCAGGCGTCCATGATCTCTATGCCGTCATGGTCCGAACTGACCCTTCCACTAAGGGGCCAAAGGGAATTTCTTGCGTTCTTATTCCAAAAGATACTCCTGGTCTTTCATTCGGAAAGGACGAAACTAAAATGGGCTGGAAGTCCCATCCGACTAGAGTTCTTATCATGGAAAACTGCCGAGTGCCAGTCAAAAATCTTCTTGGCGTCGAAGGCAAAGGCTTCAATATTGCCATGTCTGGTCTTAACGGTGGTCGAGTAAATATCGCTAGCTGCTCTCTCGGTGGCGCCCAGAAGGCCATCTTAGCCGCAAAAGAACATATCGGCGTGCGAAAGGCGTTCGGACAGACTCTTGACAGACAACAGTATCTTCAGTACAAAATGGCCGAACTTGCTACGCAATTGGTGACCTCGCGACTTATGGTTCGACACGCAGCTTCGGCTATTGGTAAACAAAGAATTTAATATTTCTTGTCTTACAAAATTTTTAGACAATAAGGATCCAGCTGCTGCTTCTCTCTGTGCCATGGCGAAGCTTCACGCTACTGATAGTTGCTCTGAAGTCGCTAACGGGTATGTTTCGCGATATCTTGTCTGAAAAACAAACTTTTCAAGTTGCTTGCAAATGTTTGGTGGATACGGATACTTGAAGGACTACCCGTGCGAACAGATTGTTCGAGATCTCCGAGTTCATTCTATCCTCGAAGGAGCCAACGAAGTTATGCGTTTGATCATTTCCCGACAGCTTCTCGCAGAGTAACACGAGTTCGCTCCTTTATAATTTATTACACTGGAATTAAATTCAAATTCCATTTCGTAAACAACGTTTCATCCGTTCGAGCCGCCATCAATAATTAATTAATACCTGTGCATCAACCTTAATGAAATTACGAGCCAAAGCGCCCCTTTTCAAGTTCATGAGTCTGCTCCTTATTTACTCGTTCACCGCATATAAAGAAAAAACTGAAATAAATCAAAAAATTCTAACTTACCTTCGTTCATAAGTCCTCATGTTTGCCCAAAGTCATTATATGTCAAAAAGTACAAGTTAAATCTCCACAAGAGCAAATTTATTACTTTGACGCAAATTGGCGGAGTTTGACTTTTGAACAGTCTTCGTTTGCCTTTGGTAGCTAGGAACAGAATGATTTGATCATATGACCGTTCTGTTCCTATTTAATCTCAGATTGGCGGAATCAAATTCGCGTTCTTTTGGTTTCAATGTCATCATCAACCCAACTTCAGAAGACTTGCGGGCTTAGTTGACGATAATTGATACTCGTAAAAGGAAGAATTAACTTTTTATTGTCCAAAACAACGTATTTATCCGCCTTCTTTTCCGAATGTCCTAAGATTTATCAAATCTACTGTACCTTAGAGAAAATAGCTCATTTGATTGGCATTTGTCAATTGATCTTATTAGTTTCTATTTCAGGAATAATTAAAGTCGAATCAAAGTGATCGAACATGACTAGCGCGTGATCAAAATCACCTGCTACAGAAGCAAATGGGTAAACGACGAAAATAATATAAATAACCACTTTGAAGGTCGAATTCCAAAGCGCTGGGACAACTACTCGAACTTCGGCGAAATCATTGAAGGGATTTTTCTGCCATTTAAAACTCCGCTTTCAAAGGAGCTTTTTGAAGAGTCTTCCTATACA